AGGCAGTCCCTTTCTGTGTGTTTTGTTGTGCATGCCCACACAGAAAAACGGTCACCCTTCTTGCGGGCCGCATGCAATGGTCTCCAGGCATTTGCTGGTGGCCTGAGCACTCAACAAGGCAGACAGGGAGCGATCCAGTCCAGAGTGGCTGCGGTTCCACCGCAGCCAGGAAATCACCGGGAAGCCTTCCACAAGGTTTGGATGTCTGTTGATCGTTCGTGCAAACTGTGCACACACCATGGAGCAGGGCAGAGAGCATCTGTGAAACTCCTGTAGTTCCATGCGTGTTGACTAGCACGCAGAGATCGTGGCTCCTTCTGACACAGGCCTCCTGAGCGTTGCTCTGTCATCGGAAGCCATTGCTCAATTTGCCGGTAGACAGCATTGGCAGCGCCAGGCGTCGACCGCCCTTACATCCGGATTCGAGGCACCCAGTTGACAAAACGGAATCCAGTGGCCAGCTGAGCTTCCGCACGGATGGAGCTTGTGCCTATTTGCCAGGTGCCATTCTCACGTTGCAAAGCATTGGGTAATGTCCCAATGAGGGGCTCACACACTTCTTGAGCTACCCTTGCACTTGTCGGAAGCATGATGCTCCACGAGACCAACTCCGGCGTGTCTAACTGTACGTGGCGTAGTTCTGGGTGCGCTGCCTGCAAATTAGCTCCAGCAGGCAGGGTAGAGGGACAGTCCTCACGGGAGTACCATCCTGACCCTAAAGTTTTGCCACTGACTTCTTCTGCTGCTTGCATAAGCTCTTGAGGCTTCACCACTCTCTTTGAGCAAACTACAGGCAATCTTCGGCAGTTCCTGTGGCATCAGCCATCGGTTCTTCGCCTGTAGACCAATGGGGGGCCTTGAGTAGGAGAGTTCGATGCTCCCCCAATTGGTCAGCTACACCACCCGGACTCTGGCGGGGTCTCCAAGCAGAATCCGGAAAAAGGATTGGCGTGGGACTGCAGGGACAAAGGCAGACTTGAGGTCCATGTCTTGCTGGGCCTCCTCACTGACAAGAACGTCCACACTTTCCATATGGGCACGGAGGGGCGAATGTGCTTGTCCTTTCTGCTCCCAAAATGAGTCCAGTGGTTGTGACAACAACTTTGGCGCCCGGTATGAGGCCAGTGCTATGAAACATGGCCTTGTCACATTTTTGGCGGTTGCTTTCTCTTTACCAATTGAACTGGAAGGCAGTTTAGTGATTGCACGGCCTGCAGAGTTTTCTTTGTGGACCACTCCGATCTTCAAGTTGGTGGTGATTGCAAGGCAAGCAAGAAGGTCAATGAGCGGCTTTTACCTGCACCAAAGACTCCTGCGACTGCAAGGGTCGAGCGTCTTGACTGAAGAGCCATGGTCCACCCAGCTGCAAGGCAGGGCATCGATCGCTGCTGCATCGTTCCAACAGGTGCCCAACTCTACGTGACCTTGCTCTCAGGCGAGAACCTTAATTCTTGTCCTGAGGGGCCAGAGGCTCTGGATCGAGGCTCATTGGTGTGGCAGAGTGGGTTTTTGAAGGGGTAATTCTTGGAACCTGACCAGTGTGTCCAATGCGTGATCTCATGGCAAGGATGCTGCCTGAAGTGTTTCAGCAGACGCTCTGGGTGAGATTCACACCTTAGTTAGGATGACCGTGCACCATGCACACATGGCGTCCCACTCGTGCAAAAAAACAGTGACCCTCAGGACAAACTGCTTGAGCGAAGGCTCCATGCCCGAAGTCTACACATCCTGGAGCAGGAAACAAAAATGCCTTCCATGCAGCCACAAGAAACTTCAAATTGCAAACATTCTTCCCCTTCATGAAGTCGATAAATGGTGAGGGGAGGATGGAGGGTGCGGGGGGGGGACAAATGGTTCTTTTTGGTTTGTTGTTTTTGTGTGGGTGTTTTGTGTTTTGTGTTTTCGGTTTCCTTTCTGCTCCTTTGAGAGTATTTGGAGATTCATACCTTAGTCAAAGATGACCTGTGCACCATCCACACATGGCGTCTCCACTCCTGCAAAAAAAGATAAAGTCGATGTTCGTCCAAGAAATTCCAACTTTTTCTTGGCTGAGATTGACCTGTTTCTTGATCTTCCAATGTCCTGTCTCGATATTTCATTGATCACAGCCACTCCATCTCACTGACAGCCAAAGCTATGGCCGCACTGTTGGCAATGGATTGCCCCCCCTTTCGTTTGGCGCGTTAGAGCGGATTTGTCACCAGTGTGTTGTGCATTATGAGCACAAGAGGACAGAAACGCACCTAAAGTCATCAACCATGCCTTGACTTGCCAGTTGAAGTCGGTCTGATCTGATTGCCCACGGCTCAGCACAAAGCAACATCCGGGCATGAAGATCACCTGCTTCTTTCGCTCATAAGGCAGCCAGCCCGAACCAAGCCATGAATAGTGTCAGCAACTTCGACTTGGCTGCAAGCTATCATGTGGCCTTTTTGCACCAATTCAACGCCCGTTTTATGTCTCACACCTGTTTCACCCTGCATGTACATTCAAGAGTCTCCCTGGTCCGTTGTTGTTTGGTGTTGGTTTGTATTGGTGTTGTGTTGTTGCTTGGCACTTTATGCTGGAGACTCTTTCAAAAGCAGTGCAAGCTGACCTATGCATTTCCTGCATGAATGGCGGCTCCACCCGTGCAAAAAATAACATTCGTCGGAGCAGCTCTGATCTGGCGGAAGAAATACATGATCACCTCTCAAGATTGGAGCTGAACCTGGACACCAGTACTTTACCTTGCAACGCTTCAACCATGTTTTAGCAACCATGTGACAAGTGGCACCTGAATCCATGAACCAATGGGGCTCAAGATCCTTTCCCAAGCCCTGAGTCTCAACAAACACTCAAGAGAACAACTGAGACCATGAACTACCGGCTCACTGGTGGAAAACCTGACCCCTGTGCTCGAACTCCCCGGAACAGCATTTGAAACCTTTGATCTGGCAACCATGGCCACTTGGCCCTCCTCAGTCTCAGGTTCTTCAGGTCAAACTCAGCTTCCTGCCAGTCACCTTGTCATCCTCAACCTCACGAAACTTGCCTTTCTTCCCTTGCCCTTGCCTTCCACCTTGTTCAGCAGGCATTCACTGACTTCCAGGTCCAGAATGCCAGCTCTGCCAAGGATTTCACTTGCAAAGATCAAATGTTTCAGACGTCTGACATGAGCTCAAAACAGGTGCATTCGCCGAGGAAAGAACAAAGAAGAGCTGGGTACCACAGGTATGGTCAAGACTCAAGACCCTCTGCACTAGGAGTCTGAGGCTTCGGCCAGTGGACAGCTGGCATTCTTTGTGGCTCTCAAAAACGGCTCAAAGAAACCTAACAAGTTCTTCTTTCCTCACAGCGCCAAACATCACAGTCGGTTCGACTGCATCAATCTTCTTCTGAAGAGGTCTGACTCGTCGCAGTCGTCCAAAACACTGAACCTCTCAAGCTGCTCCAAGCTGCACACAGCTCTGCTTCCAGCCACTCTTGGTCACATTCCACCTCATCCTGCCAAGGAGATTGAAGAGAACACCCAACAAGGAGATCTCCCAACCAGCTCCAACCCGAAAGTGCAGAAAAAAGAAAAACCTCCACTGCCAGCCCGTGTGTCGCCCGGAGGGCCTTCGGTGTAGACAGGTACTGGGAAGCCACACTGTGCAGGCGTGCTGTCCATCACTTTTTCACACACAGCTTTTCCTCATCCATCCACCCACGCCCCAGTGCTCAGAACGCCACACTTTTCAGAGGTCATGGCCAGACAACCATCGGAGAAGGCGCTCAGTCCGAAATGCACCTTTTTGGCCCAAATTCATTCACTTTCTTTGATTTGATCAATTTTTGTCCGGGTCGACTTGGACTCCGGACCAAAACTTTTCATCTGCGGGTTTGTGGCTTGTTGTGGTCATTGGTCAAAAGTATGGCAGTCATCTTTGTGGCAACGCTGGGCCCTACTGGGGGCGTTTATCCCTGTTGTGCCCTCCTTCAAAGATCCGCCACAGTATCCGAATCAGGAGGTTCCGAATGCACCGCCCAGAAAGTTTCTGGCACAAGTCAAGGTTTCCGGGAGTGTTCCCGGATGCGCCATCAATGCATTTTTTTCCTCGCTATTTTGCACCTGTTGATTGCGCATTTGCAGGGAGCAGGGGGAGCAAAAACGCAAACACAAAAAACATGAGCTTGCAAAAACAAGTGAAAAAACGCGCTGTGGATGGCACAATGCACATCAGTGCAAAGCCATCCAAAGCAGTCCAAACCCCACTCAAGCCCATCGGCACCCATCCTGCTCTGTCTTTTACTTTTTCTCCTGCTTTTCCCTTCTCTTTCTCTTTCTTTTTCTCTGTCTTTCTCTGCACAAGAGATTCAGCTACTGTAGTTCTACTGTCTAACTGGAGGTTACAGATGGAGCGTGCAGTCAGGGGTCTCTGAGTGCGAGGTTTTCAGCTTAAATCTCGCCCTTTTTATACTGACAGGATGCCTACTGATGGCGCAACTCTACTGTGGTACTCTGGCGCTCGTAGATGGCGCATTTTTTTGACCATCTATTTTCAGTGATGGTTTCCGAAGCACAGTTTCCGAATCAGCCTACAGTTTCCGAATCTTGGTTTCCGAATCATCCCATAGTTTCCGCACAATGGTTTCCGAATCATCATTTCTGAATCCGTCCTTGACCAACGTTTCGTGCAACACTTTTCCAAATTCCGAAAACGACTCATGTCCGAGGTTTACGATGCACTGCACCTGGAGACCTTCCTTCAAGCAGCCGTCGGTCTAGCCGGTAGCCTGTTTTGCACCGAATTAACAGTCAACAGAAACGAATAGGAGTTGCATGGACAATTTAGTCAACTCACTATTCACTCCAAAGGCAGGACATCTTCCATTTGCATGGCGCGGTTGAAACAGTTTTGGCAGACTGTGATTCTTTTGACATTTTATTGTTTTTTGCTGAGGATTTGTTGACAGAACCATGCCATGATTGCACGCGTGCACGAGTCAAAATCGTCAGTTTACAAACCCACGGGTGTCCAAGCGCCCTTCGACAAAGATGCGTTGGCGAACCGGTTAGCCAGTCAGCCATGCTTTGCTTTGTGTATGGCTGACTATGCTTGGGTTTTGGCACGACAGGCTTGGGTTGTCAGACCGTGTTTCTTTTTGTTGTAGGACCATGTGGAGAGAGGTGGTTTGTGGGGACGATGGATTTCTCAGTAGGCTCAATGCATGACAACTAGCAGATATTGTCTGGCTGCTCCTAATTCTGTAGCTGTTCTTCCGAACACACAGCCATGACACACGGTTTAAATGCATACAGCTTTGCAAATACATGCTTTAGTTGCTTTAGTTCTCTGGTAGTTGGTGGTCTTGTCCAGACTAGCATTTTAGCATGCAACATGATGGATTTGAGGGTTGTTAATGAGATCACGCTACGCAGGTCAAGCGCAGCTTTGTCCACGCTTCACTGTAAGTCGTAAAGTGAATATTCACACCGCTTCGCGGTCGAAGCTGCCCGCGCAGAGTAAAGGGAAAACATACATACATACACACACACACACCCACGCACACGCACACGCGCACGCACACATACAGACACACACCTACGATGTCAATAATGCAGTGTCCCCCGGGTTGCACATGCGTTAGCGATGTCGATAACGCGCTCTCCACCGGCGGACATACCCGGCATCGCCAACATTTGGTCAATTTTTTAAAATCAATTTTCAAAAAACACTATAAAACACAGCATTTCGTAACTCCGATGAAGCCCTCCCCCAAGATTTAATCTAGCAGATGTCTTGCGATTGGAACGAGCCGCTGCAACGCATCGGCACCTTCGGTGCGGGCGGATTTTTGTATCAGCGGGTGTTCCGTTCGTTTTGTCTCTCCAGACGTGACGATGTTTTTTGTAGGCACAGAGCCACCCAAAAAACGGGTCAAGATGCCGTTCAGTTTGAAACTCGAGGTTACTGAACAGCTGCGCAGCTGTGAAGAGCATCCTCGAGCTGTGGTGGTGGTACCAAGCACCAATGACTACAGGCACATGAACGTGCTTGGAGCTGAACCATTATGTTCGGTTGTTTGTTTGACGCGCAAACAGTTTTGAGTTTAACGGCCTATGCAAAATTGCACGAGTTCCTGCCCGCTTCACACATATGTAGTGTATGTTTTTGTGATGAAAAGAGTTGCGCTCTTGCATTCACGTGTCTCTGAAGGCATTTGGCGCGACATTTGGTGAAAGCTGCAGATGAGGTGGTAGAGGTCGGCAGAGTTCTGCCATTGAAACATTGACTTTTTTGAGTTGCTTTCAACATAGCTTCTAGGCGGAACATACTACTGTCAAAAAACGCATCATTGGCATGTCTTTAGAGATGGCTACGTTGTTTCTCATCTGAGGTTGGAAGCAGCCTAGGCAAATGCACAGAGATCCTTTCAAGCAGGTTGGGAACACTTGACTGTATGTTCTAAGTATTTGAGTGGGTTTAAAGATGCATGAATATTGCTTTGAGTGCAGTTGCGTCAGCTTTGGAGTGGATGAAGGACCACTACACCCTGGGAAATGTCAGTGAAATCAACAGTACAAAACCCTATTTTCAGGTGGTCCGATTTTGAGTTTAGGTTTCATGAACCTTTCGATGCAAGGACATTTGGGATTGGAAGTGGTACCTTCGCGCATTCTTTCCGATGTTTGTGATAATTTGGGCTAGGCAGTGTAGGCAGGGTCCCGTTTGCAGGCTGTAAAGTGCTCTTGGAGCTCCGTCCCTAATCTCTGATGTGATTTCTCACGATGACCAGTACCAACGTGTTTACCTTGGGCTTCCACCTAGTCCAGTTCCTCCAACCTTCGCGGCCTCGGTGACAACGACAGTGTCGAAGGGAGCTCATAGCCTTTTGTGTGAAAGGTGACTCCGACATCACCAGAAATCATTTCAAACTCCCACGCATCTCGACAAAAAACTAGCCGCTCTACAAACCCGAGCTTTTCCGCCCTCATAAACTTTGGCTCCTGTGTCAAGGGCTTCAACGGTTCTGGCTTTGGACGTGAGCCTGGAGCAGCTTGAAATCAGCCGTGCGCGCGTCCCACAAGCCACCTTTGCCTTCCTGGTGTTTGAGCTGCAGTTGGGACGTATGCCCCAAACACAAAAGCCGAGTTTGCTGATTGCTGCTACCTGTACTGACACTGCAACTGTAAGGACCTCTTTGAGGAGGCAGGTCGTTTGTTCGCGATGCCCATCGCTCACCGCTGCACTGCATGCTTTCTGGATATCGGCGGCGATCGGCGTTGCCAGTGGCTTGGAGAAAAGGGTGGCTACGCAGGGTTTTGAGGGAATGTGACCTCGGCAACCGAGCCTCAAAAAGATGACAAGGATTGAATGTAATTCCGTGCAACATGCTTTGCTTCCAGGTGGCTAATCTCCATGGGTTGAAGAAAAAACCTTATTATTGGCAGTTTCATCACCCACTAGTGTGCTGAAGTCCATCTTTGAGCATGCGCCCTCGCACCACAGGCAGGTCTTGTGTGGAATCAGCCTTCTGCAAGAACTGCCGCGCGTAAGGCTGATTGCGGTGAAATCGGAGGATATGGCGATGCGCATGATGCGGAATGGGGTTCGCATGAGGTCATGTGGTGGTGTAGTCGGTGGCATCAAGACGGCCAGTAATGCGCAGGTTGCTTTAAAGATTTTGTGGTTGCTTGGTTGGTCAATCGGTTGCTTAGCTCAAGTTTCGCAAGACTGTTTCTACATACTTCTGTTACTGTGACAGGATATCTCAAACAAGCAGTGTTGGATCAAATTCTCATCCGGATGGCGGCATGACCTTAGCAACTCGTGCTATCCGTGACATTCTCAAGATGTCAAAGCTTGGAGAAAGAAGCGATTTCTAGAGTTGAACAGAAGTTACTTCTAGACTCGACCCTCACTTTTGCCACAGCTTCGACCCCTGGTTTAGCTTGCTTGGAGCTGACATTGTTGATCAACGGCCGACGGCAGGAACTTTATAGTTGCATGGCCGAGTGGACTGGAGAAGATGGGCTGGGAGATGGTTGCTCGGCCTAGAGTTTTGCATTGACTCTAGTGTCTGGGAACAGATGAGTCAAGCAAAGATGCCAACTCCAAGAAGCCCAGACCTGCCAGTGTTTGAGTTCCTTTCTTCCAACCTAAAGCCATATCCTGATCTTGACAACATCTCAGGCTGGTGAGAATCCGGGCCCAATCTGAATAAATAGGCTCATACAAAGCAGAAGAAGGTTGTTTCGCACAGAAACTGGTTTGGACTCAAGCTTCGCAAGTGAATGGGTGAAAGGCCCCTGGAAAATAGCAAATTCTTCAAGGAGGACAAGCTCAAAGTTGATATTCCACAGCAGTTGACTTTTGGATGTTTTCTTTTTGAGGATTTTGTCTTGAAGACCCGCTGGAGTTCCTGCAACGTGGCATCAAAGAAGATGTGGCCCAGAGTGCCTTGGTGGCAGTCTTAGTCTTAATCATGGAGTGATGGAGGTGGCTAACAGGTTTGGTGAAAGATCACTTCGATCAAAGCCTTTTCCCATGAGCAGAAGCTCCGCCTTTGTAGGCAGCAGGCACCAATTGCATCGAACCTTTTCATGCATCCAAACGGAGTATAGCATATAGCTAAAGCAGTGTAGTTTTGAACCTGAAATGTATTCTCTGAGGCCCAAGCTGAGAACTGTGACAAAGCAAGTTGTCAACCTGGTCACCAAACGAGGGGTTGCAAGCGTGCAAGCAACCGCCTCTTTTCCATCAAGGTGCCAAGGCCCAGTTGAAGAAGCAACGCAGGGCCAGGCAGTGGGGAGCTGATGGGCCATGGAGACCAGGCACAGTGAAAGTACGGAAGGGGTTTGACCAGGAGTACCAAATCAAAAAAGATGTGATCCATTTTCCGCAAGAAGTTAGAAGACGCATGTCCGCTTCCATGCCCACATTGAAACGCTTGCAACAAAAAGTGTTTTCTGTTTTTGGTTTACAATGAGGTAATGAAACTCTTATACGGTTTGGAGTCCTTAGAGACAAGTGAAGCAGTGGATTAGCTCCTCGGTACTTTTCAGCTAAAGGGTAATACAAATTACTTTACTTCGAGTGATCCCCACCATGACATTTCAATCATTTGTCTTGATGCCATAGTGAGGAGCATGTTGCCATAGTCGTTAGTATTGTAGTTCTCGATGTTGCTTGTGGGTCCTCGGGTTGTGTGCTGTGTTGTGGTTGTGGTTGTGTTTGTGGTTGTGTTTGTGGTTGTGTGTTTGTGGTTGTGTGTTTGTGGTTGTGGTTGTGGTTGCGGTTTTGTCTTTGTGATTGTGTGTTTGTAGTTGTGGTTGTGGTTGTGTCTTTGTGATTGTGTGTTTGTAGTTGTGTTTGCGGTTGTGTGTTTGTGGATGTGTTTGTGGTTGTGTTTGTGGTAGTGGTTGTGATTATGTGTTTGTAGTTGTGGTTGTGGTTGTGTCTTTGTGATTATGTGTTTGTAGTTGTGGTTGTGGTTGTGGTTGTGTCTTTGTGATTGTGTGTTTTTACTTGTGGTTGTGGTTGTGTGTTTGTGTTTGTGTTTGTGGATGTGTTTGTGGTTGTGTTTGTGGTTGTGTGTTTGTGGTTGTGTGTTTGTGTGTTTGTGGTTGTGTGTTTGTGGTGTTTGTGTGTGTTTGTGTGTATGTTTGTGGTTGTGTGTTTGTGATTGTGTCTTTGTAGTTGTGTTTGTAGTTGTGTGTTTGTGATTGTGTTTGTAGTTGCGTGTTTGTGATTGTATTTGTGATTGTGTTTGTGCTTGTGTTTGTGATTGTGTGTTTGTGGTTGTGTGGTTGAGGTTGTGTGTTTGTGGTTTTGTGTTTGTGGTTATGTGTTTGTGATTGTGTCTTTGTAGTTGTGTTTTTAGTTGTGTGTTTGTGATTGTGGGTTTGTGATTGTGTTTGTGTTTGTGGTTGTGTGTTTGTGGTTGCGCGTTTGTGGTCGTGTGTTTGTGATTGTGTGTTTGTGGATTTTATCTGGCATACTATCTGGTTGAGGTCCAGCGGTGCACACTGCGATCGGATCCTTGCGGTTGAGGTCCAGGCGTGCACACTGCGATCGGATCCTTGCGGTTGAGGTCCAGGCGTGCACACTGCGATCGGATCCTTGCGGTTGAGGTCCAGGGATGCACACTGCGATCGGATCCTTGCGGTTGAGGTCCAGGGGTGCACACTGCGATCCGGAGCTGGCCACGCAAGATCGGCGAAGCAGATTGGCGAGGAAGGAAGCAAGGAGGAAGGAGGAGGACGAGGAGGCGGCGGAGGCGGAGGCGGAGGAGGAAGAACAGCTGTGATAAAATCTAACAACTCTCACCTGGCAGGTGGGGAAAAAATGAAAAAGCATGAAACACCGCAACAATACCAATGATGCCAGCAAGCGAATGAGGTACTCCATGCCCCTTCACAAGGCTGTCTTAGCCAGCAAACGCCTGAAACTACTGTACTTGGTCATGTAATGAGATGAAAGCGCAATCATCCAAAACATCAAGTTACTTCTCTTATATTTCTGCACAACCCAAGGTGCCTGACACTCGTAGAGTCGGATGCCTCCGTAAAAAATTGGACAACAGAAACCATGCGTAAAGCTTGGTCTTTGGCTCAATAAACTGACTCCACGCCCATCCTTTTTTGATAGATCTAGCTCCGAGAAACACTTGTCGCAAAAGCAAGAGCTTGTGAACATCCATTTGACTGAGCGCGGTTACGCCAGTGTTTGTTTTATCTTTGTGAACAAGTTGTTCTTTGTGAAAGCACTTTGTGTGAAGAGCCCATGGCCTATAGTACGTCTGTATATGTCTTTTCTTTTTTGTCAGTCTTTGTGAACAAGTTGCTCTTCTCTTTTACTGGTGCTTGTGATTGACTCTTCTACTTCCTTGGACTGTTATCTATATCTTTGTGAGCTTTGTACATGCCTCGTTTTATAGTCCTACATCTTTTTACAAGAAAGGGTCCATTATGATCCGCTGATTGTCGTCCTTCGCACACAAACCAGGCGCATCCAAGCCCTTGCCGAGAACCGGGCTCTAGCCGAGGCGGATGAGAGGGCGGAGTTCCACACTTTATGCATGCCACAGTAGCATTCTAGTGCCATTCAGACACAAACCACGCGCCTGCGAAAAACTTTGGGCAATTTTATTTTTTTTGATTCTTTCTTGAACTGTGGTGAATTCAAGCACATCTAGAGCCATATTCTTCTTTATGAATCATGTGGAAGTTGTTTGTTTTGCACTGTGCTCTCACTTCTCTTACTTCTCCCAATGTTTTCCCGTCCACATTGGTGTGTCCTAGCTCTCTTACCTCTACCTGAGAGGTTGTCGTGGTCATTGTTGTCGTCGTCGTTATCGTCGTTGTTGTCGTCGTCTGCTTTTGCACCTGCTGGGACACTGGTTATATATACTTCCCATGTTGGACACATTGTTAACAGCTCTTTTGCTAGGTGGTTTCACAGGAAGAAGGTACCACATCTTTTGGAATGCCAGGAGTCGGGATGGCCTGGCAATTGACAGTATCAATTTTGAAACAAATGCTGTATATTGTATATACCTTATCTAAGGCACGAGCACTACTGTCTTGCTGTTCAGAAACCAACCCTATGCACACAGGTAGAACCTATGGGGTTGTGGATCTTGATGTCGGTGGCACAGGCAGAGCCCACTGAGTGGTTCTCCAAGCGTGCGATCCAGGTGCGATCCAAGCCACTGCTATATGAAACCGATCAGACGCTTTGTAGAGGTTTCCCCATTTGGAAGCATTCTCTTGTCCTTATCCCTATTGAACTCTGATGATCACTAGAACGCACTGGCAAACCTTTTGGAGTGAGTAATTTGTTTGGCCGGGCAGCCGCTGAAGCATCTAGCTTCAGCAATTCCGGTCCAGACGGCCCCGGAAGCATTTACTGTGCCACGTTTTTTATTGTTGTTTTTTTTCTCTTTCTCTCTCTATATACATATAAATATCGATACTGGGACTGTTGAAGGCCGCCCAACCTCCACACCGTTTGCAGAGGGGCCTTTGCCTTGCGCGCTGGGGTCCTGAATGGACAGGAAGTGGGGGGGAACTGACTGCCAAACAGCGTGTGTGAGACCTCAAAACAGACTTGTTCAAAGTTTTTACTTTGGATGTTTTGTTTGGAAGCTCTTTCTGGGAAGCACTGACATGAAGTGAAGGTTTTGCAACACATGTCGTTTTGTACGGGCCACATCTTTGGGTTTCAGCATCTGAAATATGTGCTCCAAATTCCTGTAAATCTGTGCAGTTTTCTTTCACCTGGTGGACTGTACGGTGCTGAGGGATTGGTGACGTGGAGGTCGGGAGCTGCAACTTGGCACCTCACGTCTCAGGGACTCTCCGACGTGTCCCATATAAATAGATCTCGAGGGCCAATCTTGAGGATTCTGCAAGGTTTGGCTTTGGGTTTTGGGCCAATAAAGAGCTTTTGCAAGCTGCTCACTTTCTGGAGACCTGCTCACAACCACTCGGATTCTCATAGCCTTAGCTTCAATTTTGGGTAGAGATTTGGCTGCCCGATTGCATTTGCAGCAGTTCGAGGTCTATTCCTCCATCATGAGCAGCAGCCGCTGTTTTTGGCACCTTTGATGTACTGTATGATATTGTTGAAACGGGCACACAGTGACACAATGCAGTTTCGATTACCAGCCAACCTGCAATCATACGTGCGCCCCAATGGCCTTCGAATGATAGACTTGGGTACATGGGGTTGGGTCTTTTGTACAGAGGAATACAGTAGTAGTATCACTGCCAAAAGGTTTCGATTTAGCAAGGTAAAGCGAGCGTGTCACGCTGAAAATCCTATTTTTGCATCTCATTAACAAAAAGACCTGCGCGTGCCGAGACAAAGCATCCGACCACAAGCTTTCCGAAGCTTGCAGCAGTAGTATCAGGAGGAATCACGTAGGCTGTACATATCGTGTGCACCAGTGGGCGGAAGGTAAGCGCAAAAAGAAAGCGGGCTGGCACAGGTCAGTAACGAAGGACATGCATGCTTTTCAAGTCCTCATCAATCTGCATCGTGACAGCGCGGATGAGACGTAGAAGCTTCGAAGATTGCTGACTCAAGGTATGCGATGTCTCCTGCCTCCCGGTGTTGTCAATCAAAGTTCTCCTTCACGAAACCCTCCTGTAGACCTTTGCCACAGAAGTTGTTCAACGTAGAATGTCTCGTGAACAATCGCTGGGTCACCCTCACCCTGAGGGAATTCTGCAGGCTCCGAAGACTGTCCCAACAGCGGGCTCCATGTCCATGTTGCCCAAGCCAAGCAAAGTGCTTGGCATGCTGTTGGTGGCCACTCTCTTGCCTGACGGGAAAACACAGATTTTGCTTCATGTGCTCTAGCCGTCCCATCCTTGAAATAATTGATTCCGTCGTGGACTTCGGACAGAAACAAACGAGCATCATGCTGTCGGTGATGGGAGAAGGTCAAACTGGGGAAAGGCAAAGCAATGTCGCTGAAACTTGCCGATGACCAATGGCGTTCAACATTTCAACATGGATTTGAACTGCTCAACATTGAGATTGATTTGGTCAGCGAGGAGGACAACCATGAACCTTTGTCAACTCCTCAAAAGATGTCAATAATGAGGTAGTCAAACGGAGTGATTTTCGGTTCTCAAGTCTTGTGCAGCTATACGCCTTTGTCAAATCAGCGTGCAGATAAATATGTGGACTTGTTTCAACTCCCACACTTGCGAAATAACATCTAGCATTTCCTGTAGGATGGTCCTTCTGTAGTGCTTTGAAACATCTTGCTTGTGGCTCGTCACCCGAATTGTCCTGCACCACTCCACTGAGGCACGGGCAGTGGCCTTGCTCTTCTGTAGCCGCACCGAAGCCGCCGAGCTGTGTGCGAAGTGCCAGCTGGTGATACCAGTCTTCTGGGGCCAAGGTGGAGGCCGAGATAACAGACAGCCTTTGGTTTGCGTACGTCGCGTCCCTCAGCCTGAGCGTTTTAAGGCACTTTTTCTTTTTGGTGCTCAACGGACGTTTTCGAAGATTCCCGTGGCCTCGATCTGCAGGAACTTTCATTGCGTAGCGAAACCAAACTACTTGTATATATATACTGTATATACATACTCTCCTGACAACCGGTCCTGCTACATCATGAGCACAAAACAGCTCTAGAAGGAAGGTCACAGCAATATAGGAAGGCATCCTGAAGAACTACTGCATTTGTGAAAAGGGTTGTGAAAACAATCCTTTTGTTTTGCTGTAAACCTCGACGGACAATCGTTGCTGCTTGAAAGCGATTCTGCTTGTTATCTCATCTGTACTGGCGTACGTTATCCGTTCGTCTTGAAAGTTTTTTGCTTGTCACGTCTTCCAACATCTATATATATATATACTTGGATTAACTGCCTTATCCTTCTTGCTTCTCAGCCACACCTCACAGCTTTTTGTGCCATCCTTGGTCGCTCCCTTCCTTGCCCTTTGCCTTTGAGACCTCAATGTTTTGCACCTCTTCCGCACATGGATGAAAGCCATCGCCACCTTCTTTAAAACATTGAGACGAACACCCTCACCCCTTGATTGCTAGAAGGGCAACTGCAACAACTTTGGAAAGAGCCCCTGGCCGCAGCAAACTTTGTTCATCTTTGTTCCCTGGCCCCGTCAAAGCGTTGTGGCTCTCCCCTCAGTAATTTGCTGATTGGTTGTACAGATGAAACAACATTGGATGCTTTATTTAGCAGGCAAGGATGGGGTTGGTGATACAATCCAAGCTGTGCAATCCAAGCGCAGGAGTATTTTTCTGCGAGGAACTGATTTCCTTGACGTTGAATGAACCGAGAATGTCCTTTTCGGCATTGTTTGCATTGCCATGTTTTCCAAGCTTTAGACTTCTTGTCGGATCCCTGATTTTCAGAATTTCTTGTGTCACCCTGTTGCATCGCCAGGAGAGGTGATGCAACAGTTTTTGGGCCGGACCCTCAGACCCCCCCAATGAGATTCAGTTGTTGCAGAAGGCAATGCATCATTAATCATAGAAACACATCTTGGTCAGTCAGGCAGTCGTTTTGGTCGCACGAGACTCATGGCTGGCATGGTTGTTGGACTTGGAGCTGGCATAAAATCTAGGGAGGTTGTAGGAATTCCAATTCACACTTCAAGGAGGGAACTCCAGTCCTGCCGAGGCTCATACCAATTCCTTGAGTTGTTGCCTGCGGATCATGAACACCACCAGGAGTAGTGTGCTTTCTTGCTTTGGCTTCATCCTGTTTACTTGTCAACTGAATTCTTTATTTTCTAGCATGGGATTTTGGGACAAGATCAGGCCCTGTGTGATGCGTGTTGAGATTTTAGCAGAACTGCACTCCAGGATTGAACTTCATTGGTCAGACTAGTGGGTACTGTCGCAGACTCGTTCTTAAACTGGCCTGTTTTCAATGAAACACATTTGTGCAACAGGGGTTAGAACGCCATGATCGGCGAATCTTGCAGGGTTCAGCCAGAAATTGGGCGGCAGGAATCTCATGAATTCATTGGAAGAACCAAGGACACAGTTGAGTTGCAGATGAGTGTGGGGCGCACCGTCCTCCTTATCCTTTTTCTTTGGAGCTACTCGCTCGTAGTTTGAACATCATCGCCATGTGAGGGGACCTGTGAGGTTTGACCCTCGTTGCGAGGATCCCAATCTGCAGAGCTTTATGGACGACCTCGCAGGTCGTTCCCGCAGGCGTTTAGCAAGTCGTTCTAAGAAAGCTTTTCTTGGAGACTTGCTTAGAATGTTTGCATGTGGTGCGTTTTTTTCGTGAAGGTTTACAATAGTGTTCACACACAACACTGTGTTGTCACCATGTGCACCTACACAAGGAGTACAGGAGGGGCGGGCAAAGCAAAGCAGTAAACACTGGCAAAAGCACGGGTGTATATACTGTTTATCACTTTAAAGGAAGGGGATGGCCTGCGATGGCGGATACGGCGCGGCTGATTCATACAATGAGTAGAAATTGGAGTTTGTATTTTTAGAGGTTGTTGACGTTTTTGTTACTACAGTCCAGTATTATTACTATTACTATTATTATTATTGTTATTATTACTATTATTATTATTGTTATTATATATGTGATTCTTCGACACTGTTGTTGTTCCAAGCAATGAAATGCATCCTTCGTGCTTGCAACAAACAGCCAGCCTGTGTATTTAGAGATCAATGATTGAAAAAATGTTTGGCCAATGAATCAACACCAAGTTCACCTGTCAGCGCAAGAAGCTCCTTTTGAATGCTGCTGCCAGGGCCCCTTGCTACATCCTGCTGCAAATGCAGTTGGTTGAGATTGACAGGCTCTGGGAGGGTGGAGCATGCACGCATAGAGCGCAAGGCTCTGCACATGTTCTGACCGTTTCTCCTCATGGCGGTATGTTGCATTTTGTTCAAATTGGGAATATACTGTACAGACAGAGTTTCAACATGTTCAGACGGGTGCGGGGTAGAGCCATCTCAAGGTTTTGAGCCTAGTTCTTTGGCCATGTATTTTCGAAGGTGTTGCAGTTAAAAGTTTGATGCTCTCAGTGCAGAGGCTCGAAATAAGAAAAAGAAGGGCAACAGAGAGAGAAAGAGAGAGAGAGAGAGAGCAGAGCTGTTTTCGGCAGGAGAAGTTCTTAAGATGAGTTTGCTGGACACATACATAAGAGTGAGGTGTTGTTTGAAGTGCGGTCGACATCATCCTTATGTTGTAGGTTGGTTGTTACCTTGGTCACAAAGCTTTGAATCCTAGATTCCGAGACGCATGGTTGCGGCCTACAGCAAGAATGCTTTTTCCAAGGTGCCATCCGCAGCATCCGTGTGATGGGGATTGGCTCCAAGAACTTGACCGACGCCTGAAGGAGGTGGAAGAAACAAGTCACTGACTGCTCTTGAGTTTGTCAAGGTTTGCATTGTTTTTTCTTTTCAAAGCCCCTATCATGTCTGTACACTGCTTATGACATCTCATGATCACTTGGAGTGTTTGTTGTGTCGGGAGCTTTTCCTGGCTTTTGCCTCACCAGTTTTGAAGTCGAGGTACTTGTTGGGTGTCAGACATGATCGAAGTCGAGTTTTTGGTGACCTGAAGTCGGATGACAAACAGCGGACAGTTGGGCTCAAGCCAGAGTCTGGTTTGGAGGGGACTCTTAGCCGCACCACCGCACCTCTCAAAGCCACCACTCCACCGACTCCACCCTTACCTTTCACAAGCCAAGCAGCTTTACGAGCATCTCAAGGGGCTCAAGGGGCGATACGACATGTCCAAGCACCTCGACTCTGAAAGCTTCTGTGATAATGATCGAGCCGTATTGTATTTGACTGTGGTACTTCGTCGATGGCCGCACTTGAGCCCAAGTCTTCTATCAAGCCCCACCAACTTTGACTCACCATTTGAACACTCACAACGCCTGTTGTGCGCATCATGACGTGATGGCAGCTGCAGCTACGGGACTGCCTGACTACTATGGGCTCTTTGGTGTCCGAGGCTCAGCAACCACTGTGCCCAGTGGACAGAGTGGACAGAGCGGACAGAGCGGACTCCAGATGACCTGAGGAAGTTTGTTGACTCTTTTTTTGATTGGTTTGTGTTTACAGATGGCCTGTCTAGAGAGGTTATATACTTTTTTGTTGAATCTTTGGCTTCACTCGCCTCACATCTCGCTCCAGTCCAACTGGCGGTTGTCACAAATCAAGGTTGGACATAGTTTCTAAATAGGGTCCAAAAAAGATGATGCCCCACTGAGAAAATTGCAACAGCTGAGCATCTGCAATTAGGAGTTGCAGCTCACCTCGCCCATTTCTCCATCCAAGGTGGAGCGCGAAGTGGATCAAGATGCGATTAAGAAGGTCTATAGGACAGCTCTCGCGCGTAGCATGTTCAGTCTAGAGTCTGTAGAGTCTGGAACAAAGAATTGAAACATGAAGGCATCCTCTTGATGCTGGTTGCGACTATAGGTTACAAGTCTTTTTGTGGACTTTCTTCTGATTGTGGTGGTGGCCGTACTGGATCTTCTGTGTTCAAGAAGAGACCAAGGGTTGATATTTAAAGGCTTACGCCTGACAGCTGGGCGCCGGCAAGCACACGGTTCGCATTCCGAGTGTCTATATAGTTGCCAAAGACCACTCCAAAAGGCTCCGAAAGCTCCGAAAAAAGGCTGCTCCCGCCACAGCTTGAACTATGCCGCGCGATCTACGTGTGATCTTCCATGTGCCTTCTGCTCAAAAAAGCACACGGTTCGCATTCCGAGCGCAAGGTTGGCATTCCGAGTGTTTATCTCAACGCGTCAGACTTTTCTTCTGCTAGACTACAATACCTGTATTCCCTTACGCGTTCCCCCTTGCTTGAGCCGGGTTCGGCGGATATGCTGAAGCCTTCAGGAGATGTTTGGCAATACTTTCCATGTTTGACATGACACAGCTATGTGTTATTTGAAGTTGTGAGTGAGAATCCCCTTGATTGGGGGTTGAGATCGCACCATTGCATACTCTGCTTACCCCTTCAAGCTGACGATGGGCTCGGAGCGGAGGAAGTTGGTGCTTCAATGGCATCCAGACAAGCATCCCCAAAACAGGGAGGCGTGGCAAGGAGGGGAAAGAGGGCATTCTCCAAGGCTGGTAACGGGTAGGCCAAGACTTCACAGGTCGAACAACTGCATGCTAGTCCATGAGCAGCGAAGTAACTCTCTTCAGTTTGAATCATCTTCAGTGAGAGGCTTGTTCGAGTGGTCAATTGTGTGTAGCAACGCCATTCTCATTGGTCTCAAATAGAGTTTTCGACACTTTCCGTCAACGGCGACGCGTGCAACGTGCCTGAAGCGTCTTTGGGAGGCAGCTGAGGAGAAGATCCGTGAGATAAACGACGCGTACGAGACGCTGAGCAATCCGCCTCGCTCTTGGTTTGGAGATTCTTGTGAAGGAAGAATCGTCCAAAAGATTCTTTTTTTTTGTGAGTGCAATGGTTAGTTGTATCCATCCATAGGCCATGCAGCCACAACAACTCACAACTTGATGGTAAAGTGCTTGGAGTTGCCAGCGATTTTGGTTGTGCATACTTTGGGAGAGGTGAAGTAGCTTTCTGGTCAGTAGATCTCAAAGGTGATCAGCCTTGGCGGACTAGCCAAGTTTGTTCGCGGACAGCGGAATCCACCTCAGCTAGGTTCAAACGGTCCCAGTATGACAACATGCTCGTGGCGCTGGAGCGGAAGGTCGGGTTCCTTTAAAGGACGGACATCTTTTTTGTGAAGCGAGGAACCCACGGGTTTAGACATTCCCCAGTTTGCCAAAGATTCCAAGATGTTCCAAGGTCCTTTTCGTACATTTTTTCTGTGACCTCTCGACTTGAAGGGAAGCAAGTCGCAAGCCACGACAGAAGGGAAGGACTCGTCATACAACTAAGTAACTCCAGTAGATCTGCCGGCACGACATTGATGCGGAGGCCACAGATGAAGGCCCTCCATCCAATCAATTCTCCAGACTCACCAGGCCAAAGGCTTTCGTCTTGACACTACAATGATCAAGCCACGGATGCCGGGAGAGCTTAGATGAGACGGATCGATGTCGATAGTGTTGGCTTCATCCACAAAGATTGGGGATTGCTTTGGCAGCACTGGACACTGCTTTTTGTGGTTTGTTTTGAGTGAGGTCCATTCCGAAGGAGTTCATGCTGTCACCTTTGGGATATCCAGATAAGCCGGGCCCCCAGCCGGTCAAGCGGGCCCCGAGCGGACCGTGGGCGTTGCAAAGAACAAAGGCTTCACTATAGACAGCCTTCATTTGTGGGTTGTGTGCTTTTACGCTTCTCGGTTGACTGCATTCTATTTCAGTTCAATTCAGTTTGGTCTCAGAAAGGGGGTGACCTACTCTGCAGTGGAATTACTGTATTCTCGTTGATCGAAGAAACCCTGCATCACCTGGGACAGGGACAAATCTCAGTATTTAGTAGTTATATATATATATAATATATATAATGTGATATTTTGAGGGTTCCACGTGGTGTAGGACAGTGTAGGATTTGTTCCATCAACAGGGGGTATGTACAACTCAAGCACCTGATCATTCACCCAAGATTGCTCAGATGTTCGCAATCCACTGGTCCAAGGCAGTTCTCATGTGTTGCATCGCGTCACACTTTATGATATCTCCAGTCGGCGTTGCGCGTCAGCCCCAGGTTTGTCCGGGTGGTTGGCATGTCACTCTTTGTGCCAGACTCCCAAACTTACGAACGGCAACCGTGCACGGATTGCCGGCCTGGGTGACTGCAGTGTAGCAATGCAGCCTTTGCATTTGGAGATGGGAGATGGATTCTGAATATTTTGACATCAAGCTGTTTTGGGTTCCTTTCTTGAAGCATCTAAATGAAACACGAGCCCTGCCACACATGCATAATCCAAATGAAGCTGCAGGTAGCTTTATCTCAATCTCAAAACAAGGATTCTTCGTTTTGAGCACCATCGAGGCAATCAAGAGGCGATGCCAAAGCCGAATTCTACGACTTCTTCAAGGAGGACAGGGCTAAGAGAGTCGCCGTTGTTGAAACGGCCACAGACCAGCACCAACAAATATTTTTGGGGTGATGAAGCGACATGTTGGAATCCGGCCAGCACCAAGGCACCGGTAGCAAGTTAAACAGAATGAACATCTTCATGCAGAGTCAACTTACATGTGCAGAGTAAGCTGGCTTGCTGCTTGCATGTGCCAGTGTGCCATCAGGCGCCCCTACGCTTGGGCTTTTTGCGGGTGCACATGGCATAAGACAACTTGGTGATGGTACTGCCAATGCACTGCCCAGTGAAGCTAAATTACATAAGAGCCTACTTGAAAAGTGCCATGATCACTGAAGGAAGAATTGAGGTTTCTGGCTGAGGTTGCCTTTTGGGGCAACTTTGGTTGCAAAGAGGAGCTTGTAGGACCTGGGACCCCACCAAAGTGACTTTACTCCCCCAAGAAACGCAGAGCCGAAGACACGTGCGAGACGAGAGCTCGCTTCGAAGTTCCCCAGGCGAAGTTTTCTCTCTGGTGGCTGCCTGAGGTGAACAACATGTGCCGGATCCGGCCACAGGTGGGCGAAGAGATGACGAAAAGCCCGTAGTTGGGACGTTCTCCCTTGGCTTGTAGGCCGAGAACTAGAGGAATCCCTTTTCTACGCCCGCTTTGCCCCCCTGCTACACAATTAAGTAGGCGCCTACTGTACTACTTAATTAAGTAAGGGCTAAGTTAGCTTCCAGGTAGGATGCAGAATAGCTCACCCTTCTGCATTCGGTTCAATGGTGTGCAGCAAGAAGCTACTTAGCGGCGATGTTCTGAAGGGATGACGACCTCGAGCTGTTCCATTCATGGCTCTACATTCATCTGCCATGGTTATACAGGAACAATAATTCCTGTTTTTTTCTCCTAGATTTGTTTCGGCTAAGTGGGCAGTCAGATACCGAAGTATATAAGCACGGCTCTTTTCGGACTTACGAAGCGACCAGAACTATTTTCTGTGCATTCAAAGATTTTCTGTCTCTAACAGGCTGTTGTGCCCCTCTGAATTTTCGTTCTATGCTGGAGGCTGTTGTGCTCTGCCTTTTGGTTGCAGAATGGGCAACAAGCAGAACACCTGTTCAACAGCTGGGTGTTTCTTCAAAAGTTTTGCAGTTTCGTAGCAGGCCACTGCTGGGGTAGGCCAGGATGGAGGCGGGGACGTGGCGGAATACTCTTCAACAGAAGGCACAGACCACGGCTTTGGTGATTTGCATGGATGAACGTTTGAATGGTCCCTGTTCGTTTCTTTTTGCTTTCACTTTTTGTTTTATCTCAGAACCAGAACTGGGCACATTTATCTGAATCCATGCAAAAAAAGACAAGACGTTGTCCCTCCTTTGAGGCATGTCACCCACAAATCGCTTTCTGGTGGTGGGGGAGGACGGTTCACCCAATGCACTGCCTTGCACCGCCTTGCAACGCCTCGCCACCTGGAAACAGGTTTCCCGTTGTTTTTTTTGAGCCACATATTCCAGTTGAATGGAGCTGGCTTCCACCCTGAATGTCAAATTGTCATGAGATGTCCAGGACGGGGAGGTGTTTTTTCATGTTGGAGTTTAAATCCAGCTAAAATCAGGCCAATTCTTGGCACAGCCACCTGTGCGGACATTAGTATGTTTGGCAGCTTTCAGCCTGACGGGCCTTTGCAGCATGGTCCAAGAACAAAACGCAGACAATCATCAGACTACAGACTATCCAAATATCATTTGAGCATCCTCCATGGCAGCTTTCTATTAGAACACGTGGAAAGAGCTGCCGTTCTTGAAAACGGTTCAATCTGGGACAAACCTTGGAGGCCCATTTCTACTGAGTGCCTGACGAAATGATTCGGTAGGGGGATCATTGACAATTCCTTCAAATGATATATGAGTTGATTTAGAAACTGTTGTTCGATGTCGACAGCACAAACCTGTCTGTCACATTGACCAGGCTTAAACTTCAACTTTGCCCTCTCGCGGCAAGTCTCGGTCTCGGAGGCGCGGAGTGTGCGAGTTGTGTCTAAATCCCAAAGGCTGATAATTGTGACTTAGGCATTGACCAACCCAATTCTGCTCGTAAGAACCGCTACATGCATTCCAGTTTGCACACTTTTTGCACTTACTAGACAGTATAGTTGCAGTTTCTAACACAGGGTTTGGGTGGGGTTTGCATGTTAAGGCACTGCTGTTTCCAGTCAATTTACCAGCCAGCAGCGCCCCACAAACGACGGATCAATGGAGCTGTTAAAGCCAGTTAGAGGATTCTTCCAGGATCACTTGCACCAGCAGGCTGTAGATTTGTGAGGTCGATCTGCTGACATTACAGCCAGGAAAACCAGGTATGATCAGGGTTGCCCTTGCATCGCTTTGCATCGGCCGCTTGCCCTTTCTCTCTGGCAGCGTTGGCTCAGTGAGATTCTTTGCCCTGACAATCATGCAGGTGGGCGCGGCAAGAGAGACCCATGGATGTGGTGGCTCTTTTTACTGGTCCCAGGTTTTTTCGGCTCTCTTCTAGCTTGGGTTGAGGCACTCTTCATGAAATGTTGTTTTTGGAAAGACAGCATGCAAGTTGCTTGCAAGCTTCACAACCCGACATACAGCAAATCATGTTTGTTTCTCAGTACAAAGTACTGTAGTTTTTCTGGCTCAGAACTGCTGTAACTGCAAGTGTGACACTTTGCTTTCTGAAGCAGCTGGTGACTGAAATAATCGGCCGGCCAGAAAAATGCCAGGCGCCTCCCCCATGGCTGATGTCAGCCTTGGCAAAGTTGCCTTCCCGGCAACAGCAACAGGTCCAGGCACTGAGGGTCACAGAGACGGACAGGGGAGGGCTGATGCGATGTCAAGGTGTGAGCTGTGTGAACTTACCACTGAATGCATAAATGGTGTAAACTTTTGGATGGGCATCAGTTCAAGACTCAACATGGTTTGTTACTTCCTTTCGATCAACAGTAGTTTGCTATTTGAGGGGGATCATTGAACCAACTCTGGGTTGCTTCTGCAGACGCGCGCTAAAAGCGGCTGCCCCACTTTTAGAAAGCCAGTTTACAGTTCCTCAAAGTACAGCCACGTTTCATGATTCCTTTTAGCCAGAGTACAGTTCAGCCAGTTTCCATTTTGTATCGACCCGTAGAGCGTCATTGATCGACAGGAGCTCCTCATGCGGGTCATGAAGGCGTGGGACTGGACGAAGCGCGTGGTGGACCCGTGACGGATGTTGAGCACGGCAGCGAGCCGCTGGGTCAGCGAAGTCCCATTGCCCGGGTCAGGTCGGCCACGCAAAGTCGAAATCTGTACACGAAGCGGCATCCCGTCGAAAGAAAAGTGAACTCCAAGCTCCACAAGTTTCAAGGACTTCAAACAAGATAGACACAAACCAAACTCACAACAGAACACGGCAAAAACATCCCGCAAATAACCGATAGAACTCGCCACCGTCTTGGATTTCTTTTACAAATAAAAAACTGCCCAGACGACATGATGATCATTGCTGCACAACACACAACACGGTGTCATGCACACTATGACAACATGTCATCCCTGGCGTGACATGATGTCGTCCCTGACGTGATGCCATTCTGGGCCTGACATGCCCTGGCATGACATGATGTCCTCCCTGGCATGACATGATGTCATTCTGGGCATGACACAATGTCATCCCTGGCATGACGCAAAGCCAATCCAGAGCCAGCGCCTGCACCAGCACGGCACCAGCACCAGCAAAATCAAAACGCCGATCCAGCACCAGCATCAGCAAGACAGCAGCACCTGCAAAACCAAAACGCCGATCCAGAGCCAGCACCTGCACCTGCACCAGCATCAGCACGGCAGCAGCACCTGCAAAGCCAAAACGCCGATCCAGCACCTGCACCTGCACCAGCATCAGCACGGCAGCAGCGCCCGCAAAACCAAAACGCCGATCCAGAGTGACACCGTTGAGAAGTTAGAGCCCCTATAGCCTGCAGCTGGGGAAACATATTTCGGGTGTGACGGTCCTGAAATACTCTTCTGGGGAGTGGGACACCTTGAGAGGATGAAAAGAGCGCCAGTTTCAGTATCTTGGTGTCTGTATTTGGGTCACACTTGGTGTGAGGACATGTTCCTGCCAGCGCTGGCCACTGTGCCAGCAGCTTGGGTCTTGGCCTATGTGCCGCACTTTGTGAAGCTTGGGGTGGTCTTGAGCAAACAGAGGCAGGGTGCATCCCGATGCGCTGTGCAAACAGACACTCCAGTAAGACACGCTCGCGGCCTGTCCTAAACGCTTTTGTTGAACTCAGAGTCCTCCCTTTGTGTCTCTTCCTTTGTTTTTTCGAGAATCTTCAGGCTCGCGGACTACAACAATCGGGACCCGCGGAGCACCAATCCGGAGGAGTTTGGCTCGAAGGCCGCTCTGGTGAGAAGATGCTTTGTGCCTTGGAGAGGTTTTAGTAGGACAGGGCCCATAGGGCGCCAAATCTCGGTGTTGAGATGTTTGGCCTTTTTGGTGAGGAGTCAGGACATGGTCACAGATGCAAAATGAAACGGAACACACAGATTTCCTGCAGACAGACGAACGAACTGACGGATGGACGGACAGACAGATCTTATCCCTACCACATGACACACAGCGACCAATCAAAAATCTCTTGCAAAAGTCCAGACCGGCGGAACAGAGAGACAGAGACTCGTCCTGACCGACTGCCACGTCCATATTCTCAAAGAAGCCTAAGGGTAGGTGAGGTGGATTTGTCAGTGCCAAGGCTTGCCATGTGAATGCGCTTGAAAGTTTTCCAGCCTTTGCTTTGGCTGTGCTGCTCTGCAAGACTCTTGGGCAGCGTGATGTTCTGGCTATGGAGTTCGTTCAAGATGGTAGTGTCCCATCCTTTCTGGTAGGTCACAGAAACGGATTGTATGATAAATGGAATAGCTGTGATTTGGCTGACCACAACTTTCGAGCAACTTCTTCGCGCGCATCTCTAAGCCCTTCAAGTCAAAAGCCAGTTTAAGTAATTTTGTCTCTTGTGACTTTTGTACGAACCTGTAATTGGGGTTCTTCGAGTATAGGAAGAGTTGCCTGTTTGCACTTTGGAGCCTGGGTGCTGGTGCGGGCAGCTGCAGGTGCCGCTGCCATATCTATGGCAGCGTGTGCTTTGAAGCTTGGATGCTTGTACCGCTGCAGGGTGTGGCTGCTGGATGCCGGTGCCAGATATGTATGGCCGTGTTGGCGTTGGCGCTTGTTGGGTGCCGATGCGGCTGCAAGGTGCCGCTGGCCGATCAGGTCTACATCGAATGAAAAGAACAAAGCACTTAGGTGCTGCCCACAGGTATCTTGCGCTTTTTGGCGTAATCGTAATCTGTTTTGTGCGTGTGTGTCTGTACAATGTGGACATTTTGAATTCAGAGGTAACCTGGTAGGTTTACAATATGATTGCAGCGAGTGCCAGAGATGCACGGAATAAATGTCCGATCACCGACTGAATCGACTGCTGGATCAGCGACCACTTTTCCCGGATCAGCAACCAATTTTCCCGGATCAGCGACCAACTTTCCCGGATCAGCGACCAATTTTCTCGGATCAGCGACAAATTTTCCCGGATCAGCGAGCAAGAACTATAGGATCAGCGACTGTCGGAGTGAGATCAGCGACTGTCGGAGCGAGATCAGAGACCGTGGATAATAGCGATCATGTTTTCCGGATCAGAGAGATCAGCGACTCAGGGATTGGTTGTATGATCCGATATGGTTGCTTTGTTCTTTTACTTTCCTTAGCTAGACCTCTCTGGTGACAGATCCTGGCGACCGATCCGGTATGGTTGGTTTGGCTTGTTTTCCTTG